CTTGGCTTTCCATGCCTTTTTACACCTCCCTTTCTTCATGAGTTCAATATTTTTTCCCTGTGCCATTCCACATTATTACAAATAACTATGGTTTGATTTCTTTGTTTGTACGGATCACTTGGGTTGTTACCAACATCTGGTGAAAATTTCATGTCATTAGCACCTCTAGTAATACATTTACTGAGAAAAATGGTGACGTGTTCAATACTTATTTTACCCGCTGTATGCTGTATATCTCTGTCACGGTCATCTTCATACTCGGCTACATACGTCTGATATGTTCTGCTGAAGTGTGACGTGATGTGCAGGTGTGATGGATCGAGTACAAACCAATAGAATTTCGGAATGTATACGTCTACAATTCTGGATAGTTTTTTTAACAACATCAACCTGAAAGGACAACAAGCCAAAATGAAATAGGTGCAACATCTTTCTATTTCTTATATTTTTAAARTGTAAAGTGTAGAACATACAGATATTGTGACACAAAAGTTATATGTTAAACTGTTCAGTTGCGAGGATTCAAAGGAAAGCAAAAACACACACAGACATTTGTTGGAAGGAATCATCCGAGAGTAAAAACGAGGCCAGGGCCAACTCACAGTTCAATGGCTTTGTTCCACATGATGACGTAGCCTGAGAGCATGAAGGACTCCACGTTGACAATGTGGATATTTCCTCGTTCTGTGCCGATGTACAGCCACTTACTCTGGAATGGCAGGTGGCAGAAAGTTATTCTGCGAAGAGAAAGAAAGATGTTTTAGAAGGATAGAAMAGACRAAGGAGAAAATGACAACAAGGAAAAGAAAGGAGACGGGATGAAGATGGAAGAGTCGTGAAAAACCTGTTCAACTCGTCGACAAATTATGCAAAACTTGAAGGGGATTATTTACCACTTCAACAGGTCAGAGGAGTCGAGATTAGAGTGGCAAACCCAAGAAGCTTTTAAGTCATTCTTTCCAACMCTTCACTTGACACCCATGAGACACATGAGGGCAAAGAGTCAGACGTAATTCTCCTGTTTTCATTATCACTTGCCACCTCCTCCTTTCATCCATCCATCAGACTTAAGTTTAATGAGAGGTTATAAACCCATCCCTCCTTAACTGTGGCTATCCATTCATCTTCCCATTCCTTTTTCATCATTTTGTTCTTTCATCCATCCTCCTGTGGAATAATGATGCTCAACCTTGGTATTCCATCATGCTAATATTTCAAGGTCATTCAGCTCCTGCAGTGATCCTTTTGATTCTGCACAGCGGTTTGAGCCACAACCATAGGCCTCTTTGACATCGACACGACACCCCAAAGTTTCCTTCAGAGCGAATGTCTGCCCATGTGGGAAGAGGAAAAAAATCTATCTATAAATCATTTGAGTTTTTCAAATTTCTGACTTCCTGTCGGGCATTTCCAATGAGGAGGAAGACTTGCTGCTAATGGGCCGTGGAGTGCGTTAGCCTGTGTGTCAAAGTTTATGAACGAGTGAGTTTGTTACTAATTAGTTTTCTCTTTGCAGACATACAAGACTGTACTCTGCCCACTCCTTACAACACCAGCCTGTCACTAAGTTAAGAGCTATGAGCTACCAGCATTCCTGTTTTTTTTTTTTTTTTTTTGGTAACGGTTGATCAGTTTGGTTTTGAGGATTTGGGTTTGGGTGAGTGGCTTCAATCTCAGCAAACTGAGCTAAAGTTTGGTGCAGTAGTCATTAAGAATCCAATAACAACTATATCAGGTGGTGCAGATTTTGATAGCATAGCAAAAAAATTGTGAATGACAAAGCATAGAAAGGAACCCACTGTATGTTACACACAAGCATAACTTGCATAAACAGTAAGAGAATGAGCTACATAAACCAAATGTTGATCATTAAAATGTACKCTTGTACAGACTCTAGAGATGTAACTTGCATCTTCCTAATAACCAGGCAATATTTTGTGGCAAGTTTAATGTGCAAAAGGGTTGTTTTTATGTGTTGTTTGTGGTTGTTTTTTTGTTTTTTTTTGTGTACATGTCTGTATTAGTGTGGATATATTTTGACATTTTCCTAGTCCACACAAAGGAAAAACCTGATTAATTGGTAATGGGGTAGGGTTAGGGCTAAGTTTGGGTTAGGGTTAGCTATGTACATTTGGGGTTAGGTTTAGGTGAAGAGGTCAGGGTTAGGCTGTAAACTAATGGAAGTCAATGCAAAATTCACACAAGTACAGAGGGACAAGTGTGTGTGTGTGTGTGTGTGTGTGTGTGTGTGTGTGTGTGTGTG